GGATCCGAACCCTCGGGTGGGAGCGCCGCTGCGCTTCCCAAGCGGCGCACTATCCAGTGCGCCACCGGGCCGGCCCTCCCTCTGTTTTTTTTTGGTGCTTGATTAGTACAGGGATTAATCTTTAGACCTTGCTGTTATTGTTACTGTGCTCTATCCAACTGAGCTAACCAGACAGCCTTATTTTTTTCTTTTAATCAGTGTGTGTATTTAAGGAAGGATGATGGAGAGTGACTTTTTTTCTTTTTGAGGCTATGCTGCAACTCACACAACTCTTCTTGCTGTGAAAGATGTCTTTTTTCCCCCGCAACATCCTGTAATAGGTTAATCTGTTTTAACTAATGCTCAACTGTTAAAAATATTTCTCCATGCTAAGTATCTATTGAGTGGTTGAAATTAGCATTTCTCTTAAAATATAAAGATATTTTCTAGAAAATGAAATCAATTCTTTTGCCCTAGGGAAGAAGATAGGAGCATTTATTATTAACAGATATTATAAGTAAGTCTATTGCTAAACCTCAGGAGATGGATATAAGTGGTATATATATGCATCTAAATATTTATTTTCTTGGATTTTAACTTTGTTAACATAATTAACAAAGGGTGAGGGGAAAAGTTTGGAAATATAAATATTCAATGCAATGTTTTCCTCCTGAAATTATCTCCCTTAACAAGGGAACTGTGAGAATTATCCTGTTGGTCTTATAAACCCTAAGGGTCACGAGTCATATTGGGTCACTTTTTTGACTACTGTTCTTTGAAGTATACATTATTTCACTGTTGTTCCCTTGAATCTTTATAACCTCCAACTCTAAATTTAGTTCTTTGCTTATAGTATGTGAAGGCCTGTCTGCAAGGAGTTGAGCCATGTTAGAAGATCGTAATGGGGTTCCTGGTGTTTCATAGAGAAGCAGTATCTATTTTCTCATGGTCTATTTGGGGGGTTTCTCTGTAAGCTTAGTATATCCCAGTCACTTTTTAATATTAACTCCTTTAATTCTCTCAGTAATCCTAAAAGAAAGTTACTATTATTATCCTCATTTTCTTTTTTTTAAAATTTATTTTTATTGAAGCATAATTATACATATTTCTGTGGTACAGCATTGACTACCATCACCTGTGTACACCATATGTTGATCAAATCAATTTTATTAGCATATTCATTGTTACAAATTGTACTTATTCTTTATAACCCATATCCAATCTCTCCCCATCTCCCTCTCACTCCCCTCTACCTCTTATAACCATAGATTTGTCCCCATATGTTGATCAAATCAATTTTATTAGCATATTCATTGTTACAAATTGTACTTATTCTTTATAACCCGTATCCAATCTCTCCCCATCTCCCTCTCACTCCCCTCTACCTCTTATAACCATAGATTTGTCCTCTCCTTCTGAAAGATTAATGGTTTCTCTGTTGATTTGTTGCCCAGATGATCTGTCCAGTGCTGAGAGAGGGGTGTACAGATTCCCACTATTATTATAGAGCAGATGCTTTTTCTATTACTTTGGAGTGGGCTTTGTGGAGAGAGATGTCTTCTTTTTTTGGTCTCCACTGGTGACTCTCCTTGTGTCAGTGCAGTTGAGTGTCTGGTGGGCTGCTTGCATGGTGGCTGTGGCTACTGCTGTGGCATCTAGCCACTTTTGCAGCAGCTGTGGCTATTGTGGTGGTTTGGTGGGTCACCTGCATGGAAGTGGTGTTTTTAGCATGCTCCTTGCCTGGTGGCAGCTCTTGGCTCCTGCCTCAGGTCCCCACGTGGGTTCCATGGTGTTGGTGTGCCTG